TCAAAATGTATTTTGTAAAGACCACAAACCAAATTCTCACCACACTATAGACGTTAAAGTTCCAGCCAAAATCATAATAAAAAGAATACTACCTAATTAAAGACTTTGGATGTATATTTACTTAAATTAAAACAAGACGAGGGAGTTTTATCTACCCCAAGAATTTTCCTTTTCCTTGATCACAATATAAACCAAGAGATTCTAAGATTACTCTTATAAAGATTACTTAAGTAGGTAACTCAGTGTTTTTAGGAACAATCCTTTCCATTTTTCATAAACAAACCCGGAATGGATTACAATTTCGTTACTCGCAAAAATGAACTGATTAAAGTCTCCGCTCCTCGTTCTTACATCAGATTTTCCGTAATATCAAAAAATATCACGGAGCTCTATTTGACTAAATTGAGTTTTCAAACGCTTCCAGAAATTCCTGGGCCGGGTTTTGTAGAATAAATTGATGAACGCCAATTTGCCATTAGGGAAAGGAAAAAATCGCTGACAGCTTAATCAAGTTTGATTGCTTGGCTGTATAAATTCATTGCCAAAATCGGTCACTTCGCCTCTTTCACATCATTCACTTGCGGGAAGCATTGCCGATTGGCTAGATATGAATTTAATCAGATAGAATTATATGTAAATATACCTACTTACTTACATATTCCGTAAGTTCCGTTAAGAAAAAGTCCCGTTAAGAAAAAACATTTGGCACGAATCTAATGAAATAAATGGTACTTACTCTACATAGGTATAATATGATTTCCAAGAAAGATATTGACTAATTCACTATTGAACAAGTCTTCAGAGAACTATAAGGTTTCCTCGCTCGTGTCTATTAATATACTGAATTTATTAAGTAAGTATCATGAACCGACAATAGCGCAAATTCTTTACCAACTGAAAATGTGCTGAAATTCGTACTATTATTCGTAACTTTAATGAACAATGTTGGCGCGAATCTAAAAGAAACAATCTCACTCTACACATAATATCCTAGAACACATCTTCAGGCGCCACTACAGGGTTGTCACTTGTGTACTCTTATCTGTTGCATTCTTGTGACCCACGACTTGTCTTGTCAACCAGACTGACTGACTGACTTGACTAGCCATGGAATACGAAGCGTGGGCAGGCCTCCTACTAGGTGAATCAACGATCTGGTAAAGGCCGCGGGAGTAGCCTAGATGCAGGCAGCACAGGACCATTCATTGTGGAAAACCTTGGGGGAGGCCTTTGTCCAGCAGTGGACGTCATTTGGCTGAAACGAACGAACAAACGAACGAATGCAACTTGTAGGCTGTACGTGTATTTTTGACCTGATAAATTCAATGTATCATTGATGAGAACACAAGTTCATCGCCATCAATAAAAGAAGAAGAAGAAGAATTTGATGTCGTGATCATTATCAATTCGTCCACAGAGTCATCATCATCATCAAAAAGTTTTGTTCCCACTGCAGTAGCACGCCCTCTCTAATTTACAGGCAATTTCACTCCAATATATAGTTGTAGAGTTCTAACGACTCTTGAGATAATGCCATTGATTCTGTAGAAAAAAGCCACACAAAATGCTCATGCATTTTAATTATTCTGACGCATTTTTGGTAGTCAGCCCTAGCAGTCGGCGTTCCTTCTTGAGTGCAATCTGTCCTCTTATGTCACTTGCACCCTCTGCTTAGATATATTTCCTTTGTCCTACCCACACTCGCGAAGCAGCAATGAAGAACAAAGCGGCCGGAACGAAATAAACTATCAGGAAATGGATCTTTGTGAAACTAGTGTGAGAAATCATTCCGTAATTTTACAAAGAAGTATCTGTTATTTATTTTCTTTGTCGTTTCTGAAAATCAGGATGTTTGTCTTTTCAATCCCTATTTATGCAATTGTTTAGGTAATGTAAATCATAAAAATACCCAATTGTTTATTTCTTTCTCAGTATATCCGTGATTAAGGTTTCAAAAACACAATTTCTTATTTTTAATGAAAAATATTTTGGAAATGATATTGCAAGTCAAAATCGTAGGTAAAAGAAAAGCTGGTGCTTCCATTTGTACAATTTTTCAATTTTATGCCGCCATTCTCAATTTGAAAATTCCCATGCAGATACCGAATAACGAATCTCCAATGTTTGGCGGCCGTAAAAAATCTCAAAGCGGAAAACGGCGAAGTGCACGGAGCACAGAGGGACGGCTCGGATTTACTCCTCGAGTGCCTCAACGGTTAAAACCCAGATTTACCAACAAGTTAACAGAAAACCTCGTGCTTATTTAAAATCCACACAAAGCCCCAGATTTTAATTAGTTTCCTTATAAAATAAATGGCGACGAAATTAGATTCTTGACCAAGTTTGTATTTATTGTCTTCGGCGACTACAGGGAAGTTTCGCCTAAACGTAATCAAAAGTTTGAGCGTTACGATTGGTGCTAAATTCCATTCTCTTGTATTTATTTGATTCTTTCCCATTAACAGCTTATATATAAAACAGTTGATAGAATCTGAGCACAAACTATCTTCTTTGCACCTTTCTTTAAAAAAGAAAAATGTATTATTACCTATTTTACTGCGGAGATGGTTAAGTGGGGCTTGCCTAATCAAAAGGATGAGCCATACCCGGCGGTGCCCCGTTAATCGCCTATTTAACATTAATTTAATATATTTTCTACCAACTATCCGATGTAGTAGGTACACATATAGGTCAATGTCTAAACTGACTGCCAATGACTGCTGAAAATTGAATCATGGTCCCCCAAAGGAAGGAACAATAAACAGCTAATGACCGTTAGTTACCGCTGTTCCCAACGCAAAGGAACGCCGAAATCACTTTAGCAAGTTCCTTTTAAAACTTCCGGCGTTATTGGACTCTCGCAAACGTCTAGCAAACCTTCTTTCGCCTTTAATTGACTTGGTGTCTAAGGTGTCTACCATCTCGCCGAGTAATTGCATTCCGCGCAGGCAACACCGATTCGTTTACCCAAAGTAAACTTTATTTATAAAAGATTTAATTAACTGCCTCTTCCTACATTTATGAGCAGTTAGAAATTGTGACTGGAGATTAATATTTCCATGAATCTCAATTATTGTAATTCTTCATAAGGTTGTGTTATTTTTATGCCGATTTACCTAACTGGTAGAGACCCCCTTTCTGAACTTAACATCTAACAGAAAAAAAGTACTTTATAAACATGGATTATTATTAAGTAAACTATTTATTAATAACTAAACATTTATTTATAACTAAATAACTTGTAAAACCATAACATAACTTACCATTTCCTGACGTGTAGGTATTCTCTACATTTTCAGATAGATCTCAAATGATAGTACCTAGTACCTACCCATGTATATTTAGTTGTGATAGTAAATATTTGAAAATCTTGTAAAATTATATTTTATATCGCCACCAAAAACAATAAAAAAACGAGCATACAAATTAAAGTTAAATTGTTTTGTTTTCATTGTTAAGCACTCTTAAGATGACTACAGTAATAACTCAGCAATTTAGAGAAAATTACAGCTGCTTCGTGGTCTGCGGATGGCCAGCAGTAATTTACATGCAAAGCATCAACTTAGGTCGGTCAGGCAAAGTTGCAGTCTGTTGTTAGCAGTCTAGCTTAACAGCCCAGGCAACTTAACCTGCAGCCACCTGCCGTAGTTACCATAACTAAAACGACGTTGTAGCACGTACCTACTTCTATGGAAAAAAGGTCGAGTCTTGCTTTACACCTAGGCTCTGACCTGTGCAGACCAGAGTATAAGATTTAAAAATCCTTTGTATAAAATACAAACTCCCATTTATTCTGTAAGTAAAATAGGACGTTAAAGGCTGTTTAAGGAGGAAAATTCCTGGGAAGCCAGTGTGAAGGCTTAATCAGTATGTAAACTGGAGAGGCAGTTGCTTACACTCCATTAATTATAAACACTCCATGAACTCTTTAAAAAGTGTTTTACCATGTTTTCGTTGGCAAAAATAGAACTTTTAACCTGCCATACTTACAATAGCCTACTTAAATATATTTAAAAAGAAACCCTTGCTACTAATATTTTATATGAATTAATTACATATTAGAATTCAGTGCCGCTGCTTCTGGGATCAAAAATATGAGGGTGAGACTTGTCGGGTTTATTTTATCTAAGTTTATCTTATTATGTAATTTATCCAAGTACTTACCTACCTAAGCATTAAGCAGGCTTACACTAAACGCATTAAACATCGTATCCTCCCCTACATTTGGGCTAGGTAGACCTATGTAAGGTTCCAGGACGAGCTACATAACATACAGACAGACTAACAGCATGCAAGTAGGTACAGCCAGTAGAGACTGGTGCAGCGCAGGATTTGCGCGCTCTTGAGTGCACTCAGACCCTTGCGGCTTACACTTCAAAGTAAGTGTACGATAGTAGACGGCACGTTGATGGAAATACCTAGTAGGTACCTATGTTAAGAAAACACCAACCACAACGTAGTGATATTAGGAGTAGGGAGTAGGAGTAAGAAAGCGCGCTTGAAAAATAAACATAATAAAATTGGTTTTCCAGAATTCATGACAATTTTGGTTTATGATATTAATAATTAACTCAAGCAATAATCTATTACTCCAAGCGCCGCCGCGGCGCCGCGTGCCGCGTCGCAAAAACACATTGAAGTAGGTACATAATATGGTGCTGCTGCCTAAACTTGCATAGCTTTTACAATAAATTTCGTACATTTAAATGCAAGTTTTAATTGAAATATATAGGGAATATAGGACAAAAAACATTTAAATAAATACCCCGAAACAAAATAAGTTCCATTCGACTTTTATATTTACTTGACTGCGTCTATCGGAACGTATTTCTAGTGCTTTTACTATATCACGCCATCTATGATTCAGCTGTTACAACGCTGAGACAACCACGCAACCACTCACGGCTAACTTCACTACTGAGCCGCGATTGGCTGCAGACTCGAGATAATATTGATCGTCGAATAGCATTGGTTAATGGTAGGCAGAAGTAACACGTTTACCCAATAAAAATATTTTAGCACCAGTGACAACGAGTTAATTGTACAATGAAAACAAGTTTCCGACTTCCGAGCATCTGTCATCATCATCTGTCATTGATGACTGTACAATCAATCAGTATCCGCCTTTGTTTTAATTAATAAACTGTGAAAAAAGTAAGTATTATTATCAATTTATCGTTCATTTGTTAGGTTTATTGTTTTTTGTTATATAAGTTATCTCATTTTTGTTAGATATCATTTATAATTCGTGATCTTGGCTACACAAATTGACGTCATTGAATTCCATTAAAAAACGTTGAAATTCCTAGATTCTGCGAGTATCACATAGTATTAAAACAATGTTTATCGTTATACGCCTCATTTAGTAAATGTACAATCAATAAAAAGTCGCGTTTGAACAATTGGCAGTTTAAAATTTGTTATTGTTTTCGAAAGTATGAACCGAAAATTTATGGCTTAATTTTAAATTTGCAATATGTATCTAGCTCATGTTATTGTTCTCTTACAATAGTAAGCTACTTAGAATACCGTTGCTCTGATTTCTAAAGTATAACTATCCCAAAAACAATGTGAATATGAGCACATTGTCAATTATAAAGCCAGCTTAATTGAGGGCTATTAGAGATATGTGTCAACTCCTTGCACGATTGACTGACGCCCCAAATAGAACGATCTGATAATAACACCACGCATTATTAGTGAGAACGTGTATTATCAATTTTCTGTGCAACTTTTCTAGATAACAATGATAAGATAATGAATGTACTTATCTCAATCCTTCTTAAACATATTGTACTCTGTGTAATAATCTGTTTCGCATTGTTGTAGGTAACAGGGTCTGCGATGACGGCCCAAGTGCAAGCCTTGTATGACTTCACGGGTGAGCCCGGCACCACGGAGATGTCAATCACCACTGGTGAAGTACTGACACTGTTGAATACTGAGATCGGTGAAGGTTGGTGGGAGGGAAGGAATGCAAGAGGAGAAACTGGATTATTCCCTGCGGCATACGTAAGAAAGCTTACCCCGGAAGATGCAGTACATGGTAAAGCAGCACCAGCAGCTCCTAGATATGACCAAGCAGCTGACGACTGGGGCGATCAACAGTACAGTGCCGGTGACAACAACTACCAGCGAGCAGCGTCTCACGACGACGGCTGGGATGATGATTGGGATGACGACACATATTCTGAAATTGGCCCCGCACAACAGAAAGCTCAACAAGCCCAACAAGCACCCATGACTCCTCTGCCTGGGATGCCAATAAGTGAATACAATCACCAAATCAGTGATGACACCACATCCAACTTTGGATCAACAGTAGGGACAGTGAGAAAAAACAAATTCGCTCCTTCTTCAAAAGTGAGTGGAGAGAGTTACCTGCTGGGCACATTGAATGTTGAAGTACCTGATTCTGAAAAAGTTTACATAATTCAAGATGAAGACGGATACATATGGTCACCTATACCACAACCATTTTCTGTAACAGTGGCATCCCCAAAGAAAGAATCTAAATTCAAAGGAATCAAGAGCTTCATAGCATACCAGTTGACACCATCTTTTAACAATATACAAGTGTCTAGAAGATACAAGCACTTTGACTGGTTACATGAAAGATTGCAAGAAAAGTTCACTCTTATTCCAATCCCACCTTTGCCAGATAAACAAATTTCTGGCCGTTACGATGAGCAGCTCATAGAACGTCGAAGAGTTCAACTGCAAGAATTTGTTGATTGGATGTGCAGACACCCAGTTCTTTCTAAAAGTGAAGTCTGGCAACACTTTCTTACATGCACTGATGAAAAGAGATGGAAGGCAGGTAAGAGGCAAGCTGAAAGGGATGCCCTGTTAGGCCTCAATTATTGTATATCACTAGTTGTACCTGAAAAAGCTTTATTACAATCACAAGTGGACCACATCACAGAACAGTGCCACACATTCGTCAGTAGTATGGACACTTCAGTGAAATCAGTGTCCAGTATGTGTCTCGCACAAACTAAGAGGTTCCAAGGCCCATACAAAACTGACTGCCAGAAAGTTGGTGAAGCCTTCTACAACCTAGGAAATGCTCTCAGTTTAGATGAAGGCTCTATAGTCTCGACATCTAAATTAACTTCGGCCATAAAGCTGACTGGAGGAGCTTATATTGAGATTGGACGAATGTATGACGAACAACCGAAATACGACTGGGAGCCTTTGGGTGACAAATTCCATTTATACAAAGGCATTGTTGGTAGCTTCCCTGATGTTCTAGCAAATCATAAAGGAGCCGTTCAAAAGAAACGAGAATGTGAACGGTTAACAGCTGAACACAAGATGGAAGTAGCTCAGCTGAATGAGGTGTTGCGAAGAACCGATGTTATTTCTTATGCTCTTCTTGCCGAAATAAACCACTTTAAGGCTGAAAGAACTACTGATATAAAGGCGACTATGCAAAAATTCCTAAGGCAGCAAATCAATTTCTACAAGAAAATTGTTGATAAATTGGAAACAACTCTTCGACAATATGATGAGTAGTTAAATTGCTACTAATAACTAAAGCAAGCAGTAAATTGAAAATATTTCGAAAACAATGTAAACGGCCTTGAATTTTCTTAGTTACATCTGTATTCTAAATTATTGTGTAAAATTACTATGTATTCATTTTGTATGTTTACATAACTAGAATCCAAAGGATTAATCATAAAACATTGGTGTAATAATGTAGTGTAACAATTAATCAATGAATTTACTTGTGATGAAATCATGGACTGAATGTAAAGTGATTATGATGATACACATTCTGTTAATTTTCTACAACAAATATGCTGTATATATTTTTTGCATCGGAGACTACCTTCATGGATTTATTATTTTTTCTATCGTATATACATTTTTTAAATTGTACTAATTGCGGATCAATTATTTTGTTGTCTAATTTTAGAATAAGTGTTGTACTATATTCCTTTTATAAGATATTTTATAGGCCTTGCTAATTAATAATAAATAATGTAATTCGTTATGCTGTTTTTCAATTTATATTGTAAGCGAATAGGGACATTCGACAATGAAACCTTAAAAACGTAATGACACAAATCCCATATTAAATTCCTTAGTAAGTATGAAATAATCCATAATGCTATTAAGCCCTTAATACTGGCTGTATTTACCAAACCTTGTATTTCTTTTTTCAGGACAAACATGAACAAGAAGAGGTGAAAACAGGAATAATTGGACCAAGACTCCATCGCGCCAAATATGGCAGAGGAGAAGAAAAAAGATGGCAACGCACTTTTAGGGAAAAAGAAGAAAATAAAGCCAAGAAAATCAAGAGACGCTGATTGCTGCAGCGTGAACTTCTTGAAATGCGTACTTCATATCTTCAACGTAGTATTTTTGGTAAGAATTATTTTCCTTCAATAATACTCGTACAACCCTCTTGGTCCACACCACAGTTAATTGATAAATATTACCTTTATTTTCGACGAATTATACATCTAAACCTTCCTCTAGAACTTGAATGTTGTTTAAAAAGGTCTAAACCTAGGCGCAGACCACCGACTTATAGTTGGCCGATAGTTGGGCCCGATTTTAATTTGTGTGAAGAATCGGCATATACCAAATCGGTGTAATGTGCGCACTTTCATACATCTCCATACTGATTAACAGCCCGATCCAACTTATCGGCCAACTAAAAGTTGGTGGTCTGCGCCTAGGCTAAAGGCTGATATAATAAGTGAAGGTTGGCTTTAAACATACCCTTAAACTTTTACCAGGTAGTGACTGAATTATTGCCATCAAATATTTTGAACTTTATTGATATAACATAAAAAACCAATGAAATGTTTTACTCTGTACCAGCGCCTGGAGAGGCTTAGTTCAAACGATCATTGCAAACGTTGTGATAGGGATAGAGACATGCGATTTTTGGTTTTACGAATGTAATACGATAGAGAATAATACAAAGTAATAAAAACCACCTGTTATAGGGGCATTTTTTGGAGAAATTTATCAAATAACCAAAAAAACACGAATTTAAAAGCATTTTTTTTTTTCAAAAGTATCATTTTTTATTATTTGCTGGCCTTTTTTGTGTATTTTATGTATTTTTTTAGTATCGCCTGTTATTGAGCATTATTACTGTTTTTATTTTATCAGGATATACCGCTTAGTTTAAAAGTTATTACGTTTTCTTTACAATAAGTAATTGGAAGAAAAAAAAATTCTATAAAAAATTTAAAAAAAATCTCAAAAATTTTTTTACCTCTTTTTTGTCGATAAAAATAGGTCTAGTTTCATCTATTCTATTTTCGTATGTACACTTTAACGTGACTCACACTGTATTTCTTTTATTAGTTCGCAGGTATAGGCGTGCTAGCGGTAGGGGCATGGACCGTGGCGTCTCGACACAGATTCGTGGCGCTCCTCCCGACGCCGACTTATCCAGCCATCGCGTACCTTCTCATCATTGGTGGAGGCTTAGGCATACCTCTATGCGCTCTAGGCTGCTGCGGCCTCAAGACTGAAAACAGAACCAGTTTGTTATGTGTAAGTTTCTGACACTATAATGTTATTTAAGTTTAGTTCTGACGTTGCTCTATTCAGCCATCGCGTACAGTCAGCGTCAAAAAGTTCGTGACACCCAAAGTGGCCAAAATGTTGATAACACGTTCATTCCAATGAGTGTTGAAAAATCCGCCAGATGGCAATACGTAGACGCGAGGTCCAAATGCTGCGTGATTGGTGGATTTTGACATATCTGTCAATGTCATGTCAAAAATAACTAATCATGCAGCATTTGGACCTCGCGTCTACGTATTGCCATCTGGCGGATTTTTAAATCGCGAAAACCCTCATTGTAACAAAGACGTTTTGCGAATTCTGAAAAATATTTCTGATTTCTGAAACGTCAAATAGTTCGTGACACCCAAAGTAGGTACCGAATACCTATTTCACGCTGACTGTACCTTTTCATTATCGGCGGTAGTGTAAAGAAAGATCTGTATGTTAAATGAAACTATATTGAGATGTAGTTGGTACTTTTGTTGAACTTATTTGATAGAAGCTTTCTTTTTAAAAATCGAATCAACTTTCGCTTGGTTATTTATTTATTTATTCATGAATAGTTATGACTCCGAGTACTGAATTCCTACTAATTTATCCCTATCAAAATCGAATTTTAATTTGCCTACAGTTAGTAAAAACCAATAATAAATGTATTGTGGTAAATTTAATAAGTTTGATAGCTAAAACTGATTGGAAACTCCAATGTGTGTTATTCGTTCATTAGCCCGTATAAAGCAAGCGATAACTGCTTTTCATGCTGAATTTTCCTATCGCACTACCTACGTTCTAAAAATATCGCAATAAAACCAATTACGGTGAATTACCTATACATATTGTAACTCCCGGCCATGGCATGAATTGCTAAGGTTAAGGACAATTAAAGAATCATTCAAGAATACAATTCTGTAATCAATCTGAATAACATGCTTATCAAGTAGTCGCATCTGTTTAGATAATAGTATTTAGTATGATGTACTCACTTAGTCATAATAAATTACCTAAAAATGATAGTAAATTCATTTCTTCAAACTGGATAGCTTTTATCTTATCAAGATAAACTTCCCTTTTATCTTACCCAAAGGTCCCCCGAACTACAATACAGTGTAACAATAAAGTACTCAAAATATCTTAAAACTGTAAACATCACGCATCATATTTACGTGTTGACAGACCGTCGTGTTTTCTCCAACCAAGCAACTACGTAGATTACAATTATTTATCTTGGGCTTTCCAAAACCTAATTCAAGCCGGGTTTGTTGTTTCGAGATATCATTACACACATTGTTTTACTGATTAGTTTATTGACTAACGCCCGTATTCACAAACATTACTATGAGGTCTCACAGTGCGCGTGGACGCACAGGGACGCAGGGAACACACGAACCAATCACAGAGCTCTATTCAACGTTGTGCGTTCGATTTGCTGCTTTACTTAAGCAAGTATCGTTTGTGAATACGGGCGTAAACCTGTTTAGTATAAAACTGTCACTTCTATATTGATGAAATAGATATTAACAATTACTGAAAATATTTTTTATGCTTATACTCCCAAGTATCTTACTACATATAAATTTACATTTTGTATTTTCATCAATGGAAATTAATGGGATCGCTTCCCCCACCATTGCGGTTACACAGGAACTATGATATTAGTTCCTCTTTAGATAAAATCACTTTATTAAAGTGATTATATCCTCTTTATGACTCACACGGCACACCTAACCCACTAGCGAACCATTATGCATTGTGAACTGAAATGAAATTTTGTGTCCCACAAATTAGAAAGAAAGAAAGAAAAGTATTTATTTGATGCAAGTACACAGCAAAATAATAACTAAAACTAAACAACAGAACTGGTACCAGCACCAAAATGGCATCAGCTCAGTATTCGCCGTGACGGCAGAGAGCGCGTCACGACCACTGGTATTCTGCGGATGCCAGTTGAGGTAAAGGGCGCAGCTTACATTTTGTATTGCCATGGCAATAGTGGGATACAAACTATTGTCAGCTAGTGTCTACAAAAAGTTATAGGTCGCTTAACTCAGTCAGTGCCTGAGGTATGGGAGCGGCACGGGAGGGGTGATTTTGACATGTATTATGTGACAGTACTGACAGTACATTAAAATCTGTGGGTCTAGACAAAGTGCAAATTATAATCGCAAACCAGTCGAAAAGTGATCGAAAAGTCCCTTTTTTGTGTGGAGTTTTGACGGATTCGATTTTCGATTCGATCAAAAAGTGCGTTTTGTCTAGGGGGCCTGAAGTGTCGCTGATATTTGACCGTTTGACATAACAAAACCTTACCGCTCCCATACCTCAAAGACTGACCGAGTTATACGCGACCTACAGTTTTCATTTTTTCCTTTAACATTTTAATCTAACCAACCGGTATTTCCATTCCAGTACACATACTTCCTGCTGATAACCTTCGTACTGGAAGCTGGTGCGGGTGGACTGGCCTACTACTACGAGGTGGCCGTGGAAGACGAGCTCAGGGCCGAGCTCAATAACACTTTCCTATCCAACTACGCGCTGGATGCTATCATCACTGATGCCGTAGACCTGATGCAGACTGAGGTAGGTCGCTTAGGGAATATAGCACTTATGAGTAAGTTTATACAGGTGACAATAGCACAACTATTACTACGAGGTGGCCGTGGAAGGCGAGCTTAGAGCCGAAGTCAATAACACCTTCCTATCCAACTACGCGCTGGATGCTATCATCACTGATGCCGTAGACCTGATGCAGACTGAGGTAGGTCGCTTAGCGAATATAGCACTTATGTGTAGAGTTTATAAAGGCGATAATAGCACAACTATTACCAAGAGGTGGCCGTGGAACACGAGCTTAGGGCCGAGCTCAACAATATCTTCCTATCCAACTACGCACTGGATGCTATCATCACTGATGCTGTGGATCTCATGCAGACTGAGGTAGGCCGCGTAGCGAATATAAGAGTAATCAGTCACCACCACCTCGATAATATTAAATACACTTCTGTTTGGTGTCATGATTCACGTGGTTACTAAACTCGCAAAAGAGCTGGTTGGTCTCAATCTCAATACTCAATAATTTATTGCATCCTTAATGTTTCAAAATGTGTACCTACAAAATGTTACAAAACGTAGCAAAGAAGCGCCAAAGAGCAGCACGTTCTCCTGGTTGGTCCTGGTTTATTTATTCAATCACTACCTACCTGGTAGTCTTCTAATCTAGCTCTAAATGTAGTGACAGTTTATATGGACCTTTTATTAAAAATACCATATCTTTTCCAGTTCAAATGCTGCGGCGCGGTGCGATACAACGACTGGCGGCGGAGCGCGTGGCACGAGCACGACCCGAGGCTACTCGTGCCCGACTCGTGCTGCAAGACTGTGGCCACGCGCTGCGGTACTAGGGACCACCCTTCTAATATCTACTATATGGTGAGTTGCGTTCCTTGTTGCAAATAGGTTTATATGTCATCATAAGAGGGCTTTGTGAGTTTACATAAAACGTCCTCACTAGTGAGCGCGTTAAAAAAATATATGAACATTTTAATTCTTGAAAGTTTCCGCTAGGGGCGCTGTACAATCCGTCATAAATTTGCTCACTAGTGACGACGTTTTGATGTAAACTCACACTACGCCCCCAGGTCATTAGCTGGGTCCACGACGAATAATCCACCGCGCTACAATCGCGCGAGATATTTTAAGCGCAAGATCCAATTTGAAACAACTCACTGCGGCTGTCAGCTAAAGACTGACTGAGCTCGCTCATCGTTCGTTAGTTGTGGGGGAACGACGCTAGCGCCACTTTACAAAACAACCTACCAGAATTAAATGAAAACTACGGTACAAATTGACCAACTTGTGATTAATTAATCATCGCTTACCATAATTGTTCCTCGAACTTACTACTACAACTATATTTATTAAATAATATATTTATCTCTTTTTATCTCATCTTGTCCTAAGATGTATAAAGGTCGAATAGAAATCAATTAAGCTAATTTATTCGTTTCAGGGCTGCATACGCCACTTCACGAACCACATACGAGACCACCTGATAATCCTGGCCGCAGTAGGCGTGGGTATGTCAGTCATACCTATATTCGGGTTCCTATTCTCCTGCGTGCTCTACGTGAAAATCAAGCACGTGATCGACTGACCTCGGCCCAAGCCGTCGGCCGGGAACCGCAAAGTGTTCGACAAGTCCGCGTCGGCCGGCGACTTGACCAAATACCAGGCGCCCGTTCATAGGAATAAGCCCCGCCCACCTAGCAAGCGGGCCAAGCGACCGCCCTGCCCTCTACATCATAAAGAAAAGGAGCACATCGCGCCTATTTCAACTATTAGTGATAACGTCAGCATATAATAGCTAGTTTGGAAATTCAGAGTTGGATTTTCCGCGCGATTACTTTTAGCTATGAAAGAATTGGATGCGCGAGAATTATTGTGAGTTCTTGCTCTTGAGTTAGATAGAATTTGACGTTATTTTGAACTATAATTAATTATGTATGAGTCCTACCGGGTAGTTGTTTATGGTTCGAATAACAAATCTCAAACTTGAATTAAAAACTCAACTGTAAATAAATAATTAAGTGAGAAGTAATTGCAATAGTAATGCAAATGGCGCCAAATACCACCAGCTCACCGCGGGGCTACACAAGTGGACTCTTAAATTACATTAAAAATAATAAATACCTATATTTATGTGTCTGCACCTTCGTTGTTATGGCGTTCGTTATATTAATGTTTAAATCACAAGTTATAAATCACATTACTTTTCACTTTATCCACAGTCTTCCTATTCTCACAGACACAGCATATTTATTTATAAAGAAATCTCAATATCTCTAACTAAATAGATCATAATATAATTTCATGTGTTCATGGTTACACTATGTATAGAAAATAAAATGTTCATGTCTAGTTCGTAGCTAAGTAGTACATGACCGAATTTATATCAAAATGTATCTAAGTCATACGTTTGAAAATAATAACTACGTTAGAAGAGTTGTTAGAAATATTTTAAGATGGTGCTATATTTTGTTAACTGTACCGTAGGCCATTGTGTACTTAACACCGTAGAGACATCTATTAAGGGTAGTTTAAGAATTAACAAAATGTGTCCGAACATCCATTTCAATAGAAAATATGTATGTTTACTTCCAGTGTATGTAATTTCACAGCTTAAATATCATTAATATTAACCGCTTGAGTCCCAGACGGAATTAATTAATGTCATAACAATTGATTATCTATTGTGTCTAGATTCGCGGATCTTGAAGGATTAACTTATAAATCCTGGCTGACATTTGACTATAATTCATCATGAAATGTATTAAAAAAATTACAAGCCAGTAACTACAAATAATATAAAAAAATTTTTTTAAAATTCGAATATCCATCGGTAACGGTATCAAGTATCAACATTCATGGACACACTTTTTAGGTCATAAAGTTGCCGAAGGCAAAAACAGGTGGCGTATCAGTTCTAAATTATGTAAATGTAACCAAATGTTGTTATCTTGAACTTATGGCATAAAATACAATGTTCATTATTCATTGCACAAAAAGTTTACTCTGATAATTTACTCATCCAGTAGCTATAGAATTATATCAAATATTACTTATGAGTGTCAAGGTGCCCATGCTGTCACTTGTTTAAAGGAAGAGGTGAATACTAAAATAAACATTTACATAAACTTGTAATTTGGCGAGAGGCGGATCAGGTCTTTATATTTGAGGTATTTTATCGATAAAATTGTCCTTTGATTTATAGTTTAGCTCTTATAGTTTGAATACTACTCTCCCGGACATTGTATACCACCAGCGGGGAATGCCCGAAAATGTCTAGTCTCGTACGTCACTCTCACTATGTAAGCAGCGCACTAAATATTTCTTAATGACCTTTAATTTCCGGTGATATTTAATTTAATTAAGAACATTGCATTTTATGCCATTAAGCCTCAAGTCGTAGAAATAATTAATGTGTGTTTAACAAAACTATACCTAAGCTATATTGTGCCTTATAATTATTAAGATCGTAGGTTAATGAAACGCTGCAAGTCTTAGCTTATAAATTCTATCGTTTAATTTTGTAGGGTTCCGTATTTTAAATTACTTCTACGTAAAAAAAAATAACGCCTGTTTCTTATTTAATTATGCTCCTACGTCCATAAAATCAAATTATGGGTATAAAATTAAATATTCATATTCATTAATGGAATGATGTGGGTTTTTATGCTTTTACAGAAAATTGGTTTTATATTACCAGATTGTTGTTTATTTAAATAAAAAGCGAACTTTGAGAGACCAAACTTACCTTTTTAGGGTTCCGTAGTCCTGACAAGGAACCCTTATTTCATTTCACTTTCTTAATTTCAAAATATCATGTTTAAAATGTTTTGATTAATAAGTCTTAACATTCAAGGAAAAATAACTATTATTGTGTTTTTATTCCATTTCTATAAAATAACAATAAAAACCGGCCTTGAATCGACCTTAGAAGTGGATTCGTTCCGCTCATTCCATGATTCTTTATGTTTTATTTGGGTGGGAACTACAAGTTCGTTGTGTCGTTGACTTTTATTGTACCTACTCGTATGTGTTGCTACTTGCTGTAAAATTTAGTGTTGTTTTTTGTTACACGACATAGCACTTAAAATGGGGTTTTAACCTTTCTTCAGTGACAAACTATTTTCTGCACTTCAAAATGTTGACTGACCCTTTTCACACTTACCTAAAATAATTGTAAGAAAATAATCTGACGCAGTTGAGTAAAAAAAAAGCATACAAAGGGAGAGGACAGATTTATACAAAAGATGTACATAGTGTTATTTCCCGTTTTAAAATCATGATTAAAAAAATTATGAAACGAACAACTACTATGAAGTCATTTAATACGGAACCCATTTATATTTACTTTTAATTAGATAAATGAATTATTTTGCACTTGTCATCTTAATTAACATCACTTAAGTGTTATAATAATCTAAACCAAATATTCAGTTTAATTCATTTATATAGGCTACATGCATAGTTTACTTTTAACTGAGTTATGAAGAAAATAATTTCATTTTACCTAACAACAATAAAAAACCATGCATACCCTACTTACCCTATTTTTATTTACAAGGATTTTTGTTTTAGTACTTGAATATTCATAATAAACAAAAAAAAATAAGCATAATTATTATTGTATACAAAAAATGATAAATTACGTACGTATGTATTCTTTGAGCTGTCGATATTTTGTGAAAGGAGCCGAATCTAACATGCTTTTCTCTCTTAGTACCTACTTACTAAAGTTTATTATTTTTTACTGTTAATGCGGTATTTTATATTTAAACTACCTATACTATTTAAGGCGATTAGTGTCCTCAATCCGCGTAAAATGGTCATTTTGTAAAGCCTACTCCTCTTTTACTGCTGGACAGAAATAGTTGAAAAAAATATATGTTATACAACAGTTCAAGGACTACATTTGACACGTTTGAATTTTTCCTACGTCTCTTTGTTGTGGATTAAAAAAATAAATACGGGACATCAATTTTTTACTTCAATTCCCTACTCCTCCCAAACGGCTATGTTAATTTTAAAGATTTTTGCACGAATAGATTAAGAATTCTTTAATCTTTAAATGACACGTTGCGTTTTTCAATCGAACATTACTTTCATTCATAAATTTTACTTTTGATAAATTCTGAACGTTTTGCTGTTGAGGGGGCCTTCGCGGGGTGCGGGCGGCAGTCGGCCGCTGGCCTTCAGACGGGGAGGTTGTGTTACTCGCTGCAAACTGACATTAGCGATCAAAATGAATTTTTTCTTTGGCTGAGTTGCACCACCTGACGTGACCTAACTTTGACCGTAGCTTTGGCGATAACCGGTGTTTTTTTGTATGGAGTTTGACAGATATTTGACTTTTGTCAAATTTAAAATAAGATGGTGCAACCCAGCCTTTGTTTGACAATATATTTTATGTCAGAGTTGTTCATAGAGTACGTTCAGTCAGACGATACGATTGAATTAAGGCATGCTTGGACGCTATTATCTACCTAAATAGAATCTATTAGTGTAAAAAAATCGACTCCAAAACAAACTGCACTAGATAAGTAAAAGTAGAAAATATATTCCGTTATTTATTTACTAGGTCAAATTTATACCATGATTGATATTTTCGGAGTCGGTGGTAGCACTGGCAGCCTACGGTTTGGTAATTTGTTTTGGAGTTGGTTTTAATTTTTAGTGAAAATTAATTTATTTCATGCTTTTGTTGTTGTTGACCCTGTTGTTGCTACTGAAAGTCGACATTGAGACCATATTTTTTATGTTAAGTGCTGTTATCTATACATATGAAAAAAAGGGTCTTGACAGACAGACGGACGAATAACAGAGTAATCCTATAAGGGTTAAATAATTAGTTGTTTCCTTTTGAGGTTCGGAACCCAAAAAATATATGCGCGTTGACTTAGGAACCTGATCTGTTTTTTCGTTGGTTACTATGAACCTTATTTTTATAGTTATTTTATGATTTTTGAATGCATCGAAACTTTTAAATGGAGAATAAAATTGGCCTATTGAAAGTCTCCGTATGGGAAATATTTTGTCAAAATGACAATTTTATTCTTGAGATAAAAGCTCAGATAAAAGATGATAAGTATGCAATAATACGTAATTCAAAGTCTTTATTTCACGCATATACCGACATAAATAACGACATCTGATTGAGTTTATGAAAATGCATAGAAAAAATGGTTCGATGAAATATGCGGCCATGAGAGCTTTGAAAATGAATGCAGTGATATAAGTATCTATCTAACATTCCTTCACTAATTTGGAACGTGTCTTTTTCTATTATCCAGGGTGACTGGAACTGAACCCGCCATAGCTAATACGCGTATAGAGGAGGTCATTTGCTAATTATTGAACCATACTTTCCATGACTAAAGTTTTATAGTTTATGAGATATGTAAATTTTTATACTTTTTTCAGATTTTTCCGAAATTTGACCTAAAAACTGCTTAATTTTTTTTTCGCATGATTTTAACCGATTTTTTTATTTGATACTAATATCAAATAAACCTTGAGTCAAATAAAATAAATTCAGATCTAGATTATGATTCAATAACTAGTTACGAGCCGTCAAAGTTCAACAAAAGTACAAACCACGATAAAAAATTCAAGTTTGAATTCGATTAAAAAAAAAACTAAAGCTGATAATGGATTGCCAATGATCTTAAAAATATCTCTAGCTTCTCTTCTTTCCAATGATATATCACACGTTGTAATTAGATAATGAAATTTGTCAAAAATTCAAAGTTTATGGAAGAAAATGGAGTAATAATACGAAAATATCCATACAAAGTTTCTTCAAACATCTCATATTATCTGCTATACAGTACTCCTTTTCATAACTATTTTTGTGTACTTTTTGAAAAATGAATTTAAAAATAATAATCACATTATGAAGAAAAGAGTTTAAAAAANGACATCAAGGTTCATCAATTCAAGTTTAAAATAATAGGCAGTAATGTATGAAGAAAGAGCTTCTATTCTGTACCTACCTATGCCCGTGTATTTTTGATCGGTGTCAAATCGGAGTTTTCGTGCGGGGTGCGCGGGTGTTGTGCGAAGCGTGAAGGTCAAACGCTCAAGGTCATTGAGGACTCTAATCGCCTTAATACAGTTTTAACCATGTTTACGATCTCTTATTTCATTATTTTTGTCCCATTTATTTTTTCTGATTAAGCCAAAAATGTATTTTAAGATTTTTTTAAGATGGCAACTTATTGATGTTCATTATCCTACTTATTTTATAAATGGCTCAGTTCGTAGTTTATATTTTACATTTGTTTGCCTGCTGCAAAATATGGCTATTTAAATATTATGTCAGTATAGTATTTGCTTACCTACCGTACTTAATTTAAAAATTTATCAAATAATTTATAATAGCTTAAACTAACTAAGCCCATCTCATCAAAGAGGACTGCACGGGCACGTTTTAAAATGTTTAATCTCTATCGTATCGTCTGATTTAATAGCGACGGCGAAACGAACTGAAAATATTGACAAGTTTCTTTTAAATATTAAAAAAAACCGGCCAAGTGCGTGTCGGACTCACGCACAAAGGGTTCCGTATCATTGATTTATGTTTTTTTAAATTTAAGTTATTTGTATGAAAGATTACGCGGTAATAAGCGGTTTACGATTTACGAGGTATTAAAAAAAACTACTTAGTAGATCTCGTTCAAAACAATTTTCGTTGGTAGTTTTTATAGTAATGTACATCATATGTTTTTTTTTTAGATTTTTCATTTTCTTGTTTTAGAAGTTAGAGGGGGGGGACCAACTTTTTTCCACTTTGGAAGCGTCTGTCACGCAAACTATTCGGTTTAGAAAAAAAATATTTTAGAAACCTCGATATCATTTTTTATGACCTATCCATAGATATCCCACACGTATGTGTTTGATGAAAAAAAAATTTTTGAGTTTCAGTTCTAAGTATGGGGAGCCCCCAATATTTATTATTTATTTTTTTATTTTTGCATCAAAATCTTAATGCGGTTCACAGAATACATCTACTTACCAAGTTTCAACAGTATAGCCCTTAAAGTTTCGGAAAAAAATGGCTGTGACATACGGACGGACAGACAGACATGACGAATCTATAAGGGTTCCGTTTTTTGCCATTTGGCTACGGAACCCTAAAAAGTAAAGGATAACGATCATAATGTACAGTTCCCATTGACGCGTTTAGCGACTCTCTAGCGCCGTCTTGTCCATGGTATGAGCACTTACCCAAATTTTAATTGACAGTATCGGGTAAACTGATAAAAATTTTGACGGATTCTAAACACATTCTTCCAAGCCCATTACGTCATTACAAAAACCTAGGAGATTACCTAATTGAACTGCTCCTAATGACGCTTTAATTAATCCGTAACTTCTACAATAAATTGACTGTAATTTAAGATTAAGGTTTATTCGAGATTTCATCGTATGGACTGTGACAATGTGGGTGAAGTTGGTGAATTTTATCGTGATCATTCAATGTGTCATTTCAAGAGACACTGAGGACCGGAATAGTGTCTACGTGAGACCTTTTGTTTTGAACCACGGACACCAATATCAGTATGTTTACTTTAAATACCCGCTGCCCAACCGACATATTGTGCCGCAAAATCCACAAGTTTACAGCAGTTTCGTAACGGGACAGACCGGTTTTCGAGAAATTCGTCCAGTGAACTTTGTGCCGATCCCACCTAATGGATTTATACATCAACAACAGATTCATCACATAGTTGTACCGCCTAATGTCATAAACCACAATTTGAATCCGGTACAGATACTGTCTCCATTGCCGAATACTCAAGCACTCCCTGAACATGATTTTCTTGAAAGGCCTCCACTCCCTATTCCACTACAAATACCTGACTCAGATAACAAGATTATCGTAGAAAACCTGCATGGAAAGTTCGAGGACTTCATACGACCAGGCTCGAATGAGCCGGGGCAAAACACGTATGGACCGCACGTTCGACCTCATCAGGGTTATAACCAAGGTGGTGCGCAGTTCCACAGTACCACGGGATCTGGGAAATCGGATCCGTTCGCGCTGCATGGAAAGTTCGAGGACTTCATACGGCCAGGTTCGAATGAGCCGGGGCAAAACACGTATGGACCGCACGTCCGACCTCATCAGGGCCATAACCAAGGTGAATCGCAGGTCCATAGCACCACAGGACCTGGGAAATCGGATTTTGCGCCGCCCATCACAAACAAGCCAGGCTTCAACGTGCCAACCGTGACTACTCCTCTGATAACGAATGCTCAGATCACCACCGTAACCCCGCCTGCACATCAACAGGAAAACGAGGACTATGGAGATGTGCAATACGATATCGATGTCCGTAAAGACACGACGTAAACGACGCGTTTAAAATATGATGATTGAATCGTAATAAATAATAATAAATATTAAAGCATTTTATACGAGTAAGTACTACCTAGCTCACATAGGTACACAAATATCCACACGAGTAGGTACGTTAATTAACTATGACGTTAGGTATTTTTGGACATGATACTTACATCTCACAATGTAAGTGGGTAATGATGCCTACATTTGTATCTTTATTTATAATTATGGTTTATTAACTTACAACATTAATTGTCCAGTAAAATAACCAAACTACCTTCGTATTACCACTAGTAAATATATAATGTGTCAGTTTTATTAATCTATCACAATTCACAACGTTGATAACGAAAACAGTCTGCCGTTTTTTGTATTCCGAATAAGTTATTATCATATAAATAAAATAACGCAGATTTTTTTACCTAAACGCAAACAGGTGAAATACCGCGGCAAAACTGGTTTTTTAAGTGTTGTTACTACTGGGTCTTAGACACGACGTTGTCAGTCGACCGCAACTCATCCCAACTACCTCAGTCTGACTTACAGTGGCCAGCAGAATAGTGCACTATGAGGAAAACAATGTTATTTTGTGTTTTACTGGTGTCGTTGATATGTAACAGTTCCGGACATTCAATACTCGGTGGAATACTATCTGGAGCACATGAAATCGGTACGAAAGTGCACAATACTTTAGGGGGCCTGGCTCAGGGCGCCCTGAATTTTGGGGGGCATCTACAAATCAACCATGGGCATGGGCAGTCAGGCCACCGACCACCCCCACCGCCTCCACCGCCGCCTGGTTCTGGAAACCCCACTGAAACTATCATCGTAGTCGTAGAAAGTGACGGAAACTCGCATCATAACCATAACCATCATGGACAGAGACCATCATACGGGAACGGACAACAAAATAATTATAATAACCAAAACCGGCCGGGATATAACTATGGACCTCCCAACAATGGACAGTCGAACGGCAATAATTACAACCAGCAAAATCCTAGACCCGGATACGGCTACAACCAAGGACAAGGAAATCCCAATGGAAATCCCTACAACAACAATAATCAGAATAATTACGGTGCCAGACCTCAGAATAATGAAAACTTCAATCAAAATTATGGTACCAAACCGTCTTACGGTAACGGTGGCAACTACAACCAAAACAACTACGGTTCGCCTCCTACTAATAATGAAAATTACAATCAAAATTATGGAACGAAACCGTCATACGGTAACGGTGGCAACTACAACCAAAACAACAATCAAAATCAAGGAATACCTAATAACCCTCCACCACCGTTTGAGAAACCCACTCAAGATGGGTCGCTGGACCAAAATATTGCCAATGTTTTCACGACCGAACCGCCTAAAAAGAATCCGTATGGCTGCGTTTATGATGTAAACAAGGAAAACACAAATAATATTCCTACTACTAAGCCGGAGGTTGTAAACAATGAGCATACGACTAAAAAAGATGATGACGTTCCTCTATTCGTGCCGCTCAATCCGAACCAGTACCACTACAACGGCGATAAAATTGAAGTCAAAGAACCAAAACGTGAGACAAAACCTGAAACGGAGGACAACGAAAGTTATCCCATAGACATAAGATTTGGCGATGATAAATAATTTAGTTTTAAGTTATTTAAACTAAAATGAATGACTGAGTAACAACTTTTTGAAAGGGTGTAAATTAAGTTTTTTTAATGACCCAAAAATATTTGACTTATCAGTATTTTTAACTGAAACATAAATGTTGTGTGAAACTAATTTTAATAAGTTAAATATAAAGTAATAAACTACGACTCATGTAATGCAAATCTTAATAAATGAAGAGTTTTATGGTGGATAATAAAATTTAAATATAAAGTACTTACGAGTATTTATTTTATCATTATCACTTTAGTAAATTACTTACCTTGCATCATTAATAATTTAAACTTTTCAAATTGTATTAATAATAAAATAAAATTTGTGTGATACTTATTAAAATGATTAACCATTCGTTACACTAATCTATCAAATGGTGAACAGACATTATGTTACTTAAATAAATGTTTTTTAAGTTTGAACAAGCCAAAACCAGTTTATAAAACGAGTTAATACTTAATTAACCACAATTTTGATAATTTACGAAAACTGGAAACCAAACTTATCATGTTTTAGCTGCATAAAGATTAATTAGTTATTAAATTTTTAGCGTTTGGAGTCGCATCTCAAACTAATTTGAAAATTATAAATAACTTGAAAAAATCGAACTGCCTAAGGCGGGAATTGAACCCACGACCTTCCGCTTGCCGGGCGACTGCTCTTCCAACTGAGCTACTTAGACACTGGATGAACAAACGCTGGCTGTAACAGCGTATTAAACTTGAAAATTTCGACGGGTTCATCCAGTGTCTAAGTAGCTCAGTTGGAAGAGCAGTCGCCCGGCAAGCGGAAGGTCGTGGGTTCAATTCCCGCCTTAGGCAGTTCGATTTTTTCAAGTTATTTATAATTTTCAAATTAGTTTGAGATGCGACTCCAAACGCTAAAAATTTAATAACTATGAGTCGCATCTCAAACTAATTTGAAAATTATAAATAACTTGAAAAAATCGAACTGCCTAAGGCGGGAATTGAACCCACGACCTTCCGCTTGCCGGGCGACTGCTCTTCCAACTGAGCTACTTAGACACTGGATGAACAAACGCTGGCTGTAACAGCGTATTAAACTTGAAAATTTCGACGGGTTCATCCAGTGTCTAAGTAGCTCAGTTGGAAGAGCAGTCGCCCGGCAAGCGGAAGGTCGTGGGTTCAATTCCCGCCTTAGGCAATTCGATTTTTTCAAGTTATTTATAATTTTAAAGATTAATTGACTAAAACAAATAATATCACCAATCACCATTTAACGGCCATTCTCACGATTAGGCGTTCTCAGCCTAATTACCATATCATTTTTGAAATTTGGCTTAATTGACTTAAACGCATTTAAATATGAAACACATGAAAAGTACGAATTTAACAATCGTTAAGGCGTCAAATTATTCCAAGCGGTTTTCGCGCAAATGAGACCCAAAAATTTTATAGTCACGGTAATTAGATAAGGCTAATACTTAATCTAACGGTAATTAGAAAAAAGATAGTAAAAACGCAAGAAAACAACATCTTGCATTGATAAATATGTATACAAATATAAAGCGTCATAAAAACGCTGTAGGTACACTTAATAACCCTTTGAAAAAGGAAAACACTTGTTTCTATTATTTATTGTATCAAGATATTTTTAGTATACTGCAATAATCGAGGCTATAACAGGAACATTTAGTTTCGGCCAGAAGGGGCTACGTGGCACATTTTTTCATCAGAATCTTAATCATCATTTATTTGATTTTAATGTGGTACAAACGATTAAACGTACAGATAACGGATCAGGAGATCTCACAAATTTCATTTTTCTTTTTAATCTATCTGCGATCAGCCATCACCCATTATCAGATTAAATTGAATTTGTAATAATGACAGTTCCAGCTCAGCATATCCTATGATTTGTCACCTCGATTCTTTTACAATAAGTTTTCAGATTGATGCTATTCGCTTTCTCCCGAGCCTAAATGCAGAATTCTTAGAATTTAGAAGGGATGCAGCAAATAGATTGCATGAAGGTCTAGTCTTTGGTTGTAAGCTTTACAGGATTTTCCACACCCTCTTTGACGTTTGGTATCACTTCAATGGACTTTGTAAACCAAGGTGCACAGCTCAAGATTTTTAAAACTTTATTTTGAAAACGTTTAAGGATTTCTACATTTGCGAGTAGGCTAAGTCGATGCCATGTCTACATGGGTTTTAGGATCCATTTGTATATAGTTTGTTCTCCAAGCTTCTTCTGTCCAGTACCCATTGCATATCACGAAGTTTTTTCTATGCATAACAAAGCAGGTAGGATGCAGTTTAGGATGGTACAAAGTGCCTATGCACTATTGCCTTGAAAAGTCCCATTGTCTGTTGATTTGTTCTCTTTTGTTCTTAATGTGATCACGCCAGGTAAGTGTTACTGTAGGAAAATCTCATTTTCTTAGGGCAAAGGTATTATGGATAGATTTTAATGGTATTATATTACAATTAATTAATGAGTTAAGATGTTAATATTAATTATACTAATAGTAAAAATAAATATCTGGTACGAGACATGTTTCATGCAGGGGTGACATCTCCTGGCCATCAGAAAGCCCCGATTTCACTCCAGGTAACTTCATTTTGTGGGGTCACCTTAGGGGTTAAGATGTACTCTTAAATCCAACAACCATGCAGCAACTGAAGCTGAACATTTGTCATGAAATCGAATCTATTTCGAGGTTACTCTATTGAAAGTTTTTTAAAATTTTGATTGTCAGATTGGAAGAAAAGTTCGTACAGTTGTTATGCGAAGGTCTAGGTATATTTTATATTTTATCATCATACTTATTCAATCGTGAGTGCAATTTGTAGGTAATAATTTCATACAACGGTGATTATAAATATACGGTAATTAGTGTATGGAAATTATAAAACGACAGTTTTTCTTCAAAATCTCCAAAATCTTCAGCGTATGCAAATACTGTCTTACTACAACGTATGAAGGCCAAAGAACTGAATCTATTTAAATTAACAACGTGGATCTACCTTCAAAAATCAAGTATAAAAATAAGGACATGGTAAATAGAAAAATTGAAAACCAAAGATATGGTAATTATACTCTTACGAAAATTCATCGACGGTACGCCAACGCAATAGACGTCTACTTGCTAACAGGTCTTAGAACTAACTAAGGGCTCGCGCCGCGCGCGTAAATGATGTGTCAAATATTATTATTTAGGCTTGTGTGCCCAAAAACAGAAAACGTCACGGGAATTAGGACTTTCGCAGTCCTAATTCCCGGACAAGCAGTTTTTTAATTCTAATTATTTACAGAATGGTTCTATTAAATAGATATTTTGCTATGCGTAAGACAATCTTTTGTACTCTTTAAAATGTTGAATAGAGTAAACCAAATCTATACGACATAAAAATTACAGCCAAGTTTTAACATTAAGTCGGTGTGCGGACGCGTAACGGTAATTAGAGAACAGAGGTTCATGAAATTAATTAAGTCACAAATACTTAAAATAGAGGCCTATGATTTAATGCACAACTGGATGGAGTTGATAAGTAACATATAAAAATACTTGTATGTCTCTAATTTGTCATTTTTAACGATTTAACAGCCCGGACACGCAAAAACTAGCTCATCTGAGAATGGCCGTTAAGTATATCGACTCACTACGAGTAGAAATATGGGTGTGTTATTTTAATAAAACAAAGCTAGTTTTATTCTCATACTAGCTGACCCGGCGAAGTTCGTACCGCCTATGTTTATCAGAAATAATGTAGTATTGTAATGGTTTTTCAATCATGGTAAAATGATTTTTCAATTCGGTCCAGTAGTTTCTGACTTTCAGGGCCCTTAATACACAATGAAATATTTCCTCTTTAAAGTATTAATGAAGAAGTGTAGATAATAGGATCATCTGATGTTGCTCTTACATGGCGCTGACTGTACTTTACTAATTTAAAATCAATCATGTCGTGTCAGATAGTTTTCTATGATCGTATTAATAATTTAAATGCAGGAAAATACGAACAAATAGCAGCGGATGTGCATTACCCACATCATGAGTCTATTAAACATTATTAAGATTCTTAAGAACATACTTAATCAATATGTTAATTTATCAGTTCTTAGGATTCCGCTACAAAGTAAACTTAAAGTTACAATCACAAAGAAATCCAGGTTTTTTTTTACAAGATTTTTGCACAAAATCACACACCAAAACTGCTCCATTCGGTAGGTTATACGATTACTTAGCGCGATCACGCCAAACCTGAGGGTCCGGGGTTCGATAACCGGTCGACTAAACAAATAAATCCTTTGTTTTTTTTAATTTTTTCATCTTGTCTGTTCTACTATTCATTGTAATAAAATTATATCAAAGTAAGTAACACTTCATAACTAACGCCCGTCACACAGGGTGTCACACAAACCAATCACAGAGCTCTATTCAACGCTGTGCGTTCATTGTTTGTGAGTACGTGCGTTACTGTGTCTACTAGGTTACTTTACCAGCGTGATTTTACCCGACTGGAATCGAACCAAGGGCGCCAACCGCACACACGTTGAATCGCCGCACCACTGCACCGGTAAGTAACATTATGTATTTAATGTTTAATGACAGTAATTTAATTGCGATTCTTTAATTAATGGTTGACGCACTCGCGCTGGTTCCGTCCGAGAAACCTTCCATTATTCAATATGTTTCACGGGATAAGGTTATTTCCACGAAAACACATGGTAGTGTACTTCCTATTGAAACTTTCCGCCATGGAATGAAGTCATTCATCTTAATAAATGGCTAGCGAACGCCTGCAACTACTTAGGTATGCGTAACAAAACTTCCCTTCTAGGGAAGATTCCGCGACATTTAGACCTTAACTTTCAACACCCCTTTTCCATAATTTGACCCTAGCGAATCTCATGTCTTCTACTTAATTAGATATTACAAACCTGTCAAGTACCTACTTGAAGTACTTCCTGTTCCGTTCAATATTAAGGATTTTTACAACTTTAAATAAAGCTTTTAGCTCATTTGTTGTTAGTAGGTACGCCTCTATTCGTAGACTTTATATGTATAAACTTAAGAGCATACGTAGTAGGTCTCGTAGAGACGTAGAGGTAGGTAGGTAAGTATGTTACTTTGCCGTTTCGCGTTTAAGGTCAAAACCAAAATTATAAAGGCTAAGATGATGACGTAGCTACGGTAATGAAATAAAAATCCCCGCTCTTAATTCGCTGGTTGAATTCCTTTCTTTTATGATGATAAATATCTTGAAATCTTGTTATGTTTGAATATTTATGTAAATTCGTGACCATCACAACTATGGAATATTTTGGAATTTCTCTAAGGTTCTCAAAGTTCGGGAAAATATAAGGTGGACGGACATTTTGCAATTTTCAGGCGCACGCGTCTACGCGTCTACATTTTGGAGGAGATTTTTACGTTAAACCTGTGGTTAAACGCTTTGGCATGACAGCTACCTAGACATGCGTTCTTCAAATTAAAGTAAGTAAGACCTATTACCTCAGTGCCATTTCCACCAACTACATACACACAAGGTGAATCGCGTAACTAGTGCCTACGTTTTTGGAATATCCAAAGTTGTGACGAGAATGGGTAATGGTGAAATAAATATAGCCTAAGAAGACGGTCGGAATTGCATGACTCACATTCAAGTCTTACAGTATCTACTTACGTCATTATAGTTAAGTATCAAGGTAGGTATCGTATCAGCCTTTGGTAGGTGAAATTTTTTAGTCAATGGAATAAACAAAATAACAACAACCACTTTACTTACTTGGAAATACAAATACTATGAAGGTTTTGAAAGAATATCTATTACAAGAAAACATACGTACATTTTCAGGAGTTTTTCCTAAGCTGCTATTCAATTAATTACCATGGTACTAACTTTGTTTAAAAAACAAACCCATAAGCTTCTAACGTACCTATACTTAGATTAACAACCGGGTGCTTGTTTTAAGTGATGTAAGTAGATGATACACACTGTGTCACGCGTAATATCAAGAATACTGAAGCCTGCAATTGTATCTTATTTACCGTGGGAATATTACCTCGATTAGGTGCGTCTTTACGAGATCTTTACACGAAACTATCATTACCACCGTAATCGTCCCACAGCTTGGCCTTACTTAAGTGCAAAAACCGTGAAGTTAAGTCAACTGACCGCTAATTCCTTATAACCCGTCCAGCTGTATCTTAACAAGCACATTTTTATCATTCAATCATAGCTATATAAACAAATTTTGTTTACCTACTGTCCGCCTATTAGTGTGTGTGAATTAAGGAAATAATTATCATGGTGGGATTAATCATCGCGTTGTGTTTGCTGCCAGTGAGGAGGATAGTGGGGCAGAGCACAGTCGTGTCCATTCTAAGCTCGAAAGCGGTACCTTCACAACAGCTAGAGGCCGCCCCTGAATGCACTACATTCAAAACTCCTGAGTTGCCGCCGAAACTTTCAACTAACATCCACATGACCAGTCACGATCGTGAAGGCAAGTTAAACCGTCCATCGCTGTCTACAACAGAGCGACCGCCACTTTTTGTATCGCACGCAACACCGGATAGAATGGCAGCACAGCCTTGCAACAATAGTCAGAATGTCACGAATGACGCGGATAAAATGGTTTTCAAGGAAGATGATGAAGAAAACCAGGTGAAGTTCACCAGTCCTCCACCAAGACATACCACCGATGGACCCATTATTCCAGCTGCAACAGCATCGCTCAACACCACTCAAGTGGAGCTGGATGAGCGCTCATCGTTCGACGGTGATCAGTGCCCCACAGGATATGTTAGAGTGAACGGAAAATGTGTGGAAAAAGATTAAACGTGTTTTATCATTAACTTTGATTTTATTTAAGTTTAAATGTTATTGGAATGTTAAGAGGAGAAACTGTTTGAGACTTAAGTATTTTGAAATATAACAAATCAACCAACAGGCAAGAAGAGATTCAAGCGTGGCACAGTGATCAATAATCAGAATTTAGGATGACAAAAATATTTTAATCTGAAATTACAATTATCTAATAATGTTATTGAAAATATCATTAAGTAAATAAATATTTCTTTATTAAAATAATGTATTTGAGACTACAATCTTAAAAAACCGGCCAAGTGCGAGTCGGACTCGCGCACCGAGGGTTCCGTACAAACCTGTAGGTATATAACTTTGATTTTGTTACAGCTTAAAGGTACTATGGACCTGATTATTTAATATGAATTTCAATTTAATACCTCTACGCGTTCATGAGGAAAGTAGTAGACATTAAAATTCTCATTTTATCACTTTGGAAGAATCTCTCGCGCAAACTATTCAGTTTAGAAAAAAATGATATTAGAAACCTCAATATCATTTTTAAAGACCTATCCAGAGATACCCCACACGTATGGAAGCTGACAAACAAAAGCTATTTTTTGAATTTCGTAACTCATTTCGCTCTTGTGTTATCAAATCTGATACTCTAACGACCTCATAGACATAGTTTAATAATATATCTTTAGATTGCTTAGTTGCAGGTTTAATTGGAGGAAGTTTTTTGAGGTTTTTAAATAAATCTGAATTTCTAACTGTACTTTCGTTTCCTGCAAAAATGAAAAGTTTGTTCAGGCAGGGGTAGTTTGGGGTAAAATTTTTTATTGAATACCATAATACAGACTTCCAGCTATCTACCAGTACCAAAATTTCCATGTTCTAATATGTTCCTTGTAAGATACAGGCTTTAAAATAAAATAAAATACCTAAAATTTTAAGCTAAGTTTTGAATATTTTTTCCAAATTACTATAACAATTAACAGTTACTAAGTGTTATAGAAAATGAAGTATATACCTTCATTAATGTGCACCATATTTCATAATACGCAATAATGCACTGTATAAGTCAAACCAAACAGATAACTGTGCGCGAAAACAGGAAGTAAATAGAACAAATCAGTACAAATTAGCGAGAGCACTGCATTTACAAGCTGGTATCTCAGTAATGACTTACCTTTAAACGTTCATATTCAACAAGAATATGAGGTAAGGACCCCCAATCACATCGCGATGATTTGTTTTAACTACCCTCACAATGTCAAATTTGAATATTATCCACCTAATATCTCATTATTGATCATGGGGTTAGTTAATATGGAAGCTAGTTTGGATCAAGTACTTATTCGGTTTGTAGGGAAATATACAGACTTACTTCAGAAAAAAGTTCTAAAAGAACAAAGAAAAAAGTATATTTTGGTTTGGTGTCTAGCTGTTAACATACCTAATCAGCTAATAAAAAAAGTTTGTTATGAGAATCTTGGACATAACAAAACTGCGACTGCATCTTGTTATACCTACCTTGTAAAATTAAATAATTGTAGTACACTTCAATAATTATTGTCGCTGCTACGACACTATATTAATTAGACAAATTTTTTATCTCGGTGAACACATTTCCCAGCAATTTTGACCAAACCAGTGGGACATTTGTTCCCATTAAAGTTGTCAGTTAGTCTTCTGTAATTTTCTCTACTCGGATACTTTTCGGATTCTTCGCCAATAACGGGCCCCGCAATCAAGAAGATACACAACAATGTTACTTTGAAGCTGGACATAATTAATTCTCTCAATAATAGCGTATAATATTTTATTACCTCCAATCCAAGTAGGGGAATAAGGAGTAGACGCTCTTTACGTTTTCCTTAAATACTTTACTGTTGATACATCCTTTTGTTTTGATTAAAAATTTCATGTGCGAAATTGTAAAAAATTGTCACTTAACCTTTTGGTTAATTATTTTCGTATTTCAGCTATAGGTATTCACAATTTTAAATTGATTATGTTTAGTTTATGAACCTCGAAACGGAACAAATGTAGGTTAGTGACCCAATATTGTGTTATAAATGTTTAAAAATACAACATATACCACTTGAGTATTGTTCGTTAAACAAAAGCGATCACACCTGAATAATTGGAAAATACAACTGCCTCGACATTTCAAGACATGAACAGTCTAAAAATTATTGTTGTAAAATGTTTGTGCATACTTTTGATTTTGGGTCTAGCTTATTGTGACGATGATTTTGATGAACATGAATATTTCAATAGCATTATTAAGAATTTCGGTGTTCCCGTCCCACCCGTTTCACCAGATTCCACTGAAGACGTGGATTGAAAGCTACTAGAAGAAGCGCGAAATAAAGTTTGTTCTGCAATTATGTAATTTTTATTTCACCCTTCCTTTTAAGAAAGTTAATCCAAATCTCAATCCAAATCCTTCAATTAATATGACAAGTAGTCTAGAAAGATTTACCAACACCGTTTTTCTAACAGGAAAGGATACTGTGTAACACCAAGGCAATGCGTTAGAACTTAAGCTAAAATTTTTGTCAGCTTAGGTTTAATATAAAATGTAAAATTATAAATAAATTAGGACTGTTATTCTTATCACTACAAGGAAAAAGAGCCCAGTTAAGAATATCGCACGGGCACAGCTCTTAACTAAGTAAGTAGGTTCCTGCGGCAGTGAAGCGATGCTGGATGCTCTATTTGCCTGATCTTAGAGAATAGGTCTAATACCTAAATATCTTACAAATATTGGATTCGATAGCTGGCTGTCATCATTGGAAAGTAAAACCTTCCCGAGAAACTCAATAATGTAACCTATTTAGGTAGGTATGTCACAGGCAGCGGAATAACAGTTGAGTACCCCGAGCACGAACAAATATCGTTGGTCAGTTCCAATCACATACTTAGTTCCGACACTGGAACGAAATCGTTCCTATCCGACGCGCCATATAGGTAAACACAGTATTTATAAATAATAAATCTGTATTAACTAATATGTAATAAGTATAGGAATGCGTCGTGGAAATTACAAGCACCTACACTAATTATGTAGATATTAAACCGGAGCATTATAAGTAATGCAACAATACTTTAACAGAAAAAATATTAATATATTATTTTTGATTTTTTTTAACAAATTAAAGTTAGTTTTTACAGTAAGATATCTGTATCTGGAATGAGTTTCGGTAGTAGGTAAGTATATGGCGTGAAATATTTTCAATACATTCTTCATACTTGAAGAAATCCGAATTAAAATAAAACACGTAACTTATTATTTACAATTTGTACCACAAAAAAATAATGAAAATCACATTCAATGGATTACGCATGCTATAAATATAAAATTTTGTTGAGGATTAGAGGCAAAAATAAGTAAGTCCATCTAAATCCTTTATTGGAACTGTCTACCTACTTTAGAAAACTAACTATGAATAGTCGCACTCTAAAATTGAGCTTTTTGTGTACTATTTTGTTGATTTTAAAGCCTGTGATTTCTTTAAGTGACTACGATGCACATCTGCGGATATGTGATAATAACGAAAAGACGCGCATAAACGATTACGTCGCATGTTTACCCAAAGCACTTAGTCCTAAAGAAGAACGGTCATCTGTGACCCAGGCCCGACAGAAACGAGACATACCTCAGTTTTTTTGTCATGTCTTAATTAGTTAAATTATATATTTTTTATATTCGAAATCTATGTATAACACCAAAATATTACCCTTTGTTTTTGTTTAGGCGTTATACAAAAACTAATACAAAATGCCTATTTATCACCAAAATTGGTAAATGTATGTACCTAAATGTCTATTACAGCTGCTATGGAATGTATCTAGGTGACCTGGAGATACAGCCGGATTATACAGGGTGGTTATACATATGGAACGATAAGTGATCTCACTCGATTATTTCTAAACTATACAAGATATCGAAAAACTAGTTACTGATTCTGAAAGTGCTTCACGAGCTCTTTCAAATGGTACCAATAATAGGGTACAGATTATGGAAGCTGGTAACATTGAATTTTTGGATTTTGTAACTTATTATTTTTTCCACCCTGTATAATCCGGTTGTATCTCCAGGTCACCTAGATACATTCCATAGCAGCTGTAATAGACATTTAGGTACATACATTTACCAATTTTGGTGATAAATAAGCATTTTGTATTAGTTTTTGTATAACGCCTAAACAAAAACAAAGGGTAATATTTTGGTGTTATACATAGATTTTGAATATAAAAAATATATAATTTAACTAATTAAGACATGACAAAAAAACTGAGGTATGTCTCGTTTCTGTCGGGTCTGGGTTTTTTTTGTATGGGGCGTGACCGTTCTTCTTTAACAGAAGAACAATGAAATGGGAATGTACCCCGGCCTACTCCGAAGACGAGATTGTACGATGCACATTGGAAGATCATTGATAGCAGGTTAAAGTGTTTCAAATTCAATCAGCCAGCTCAAAAACATCACACGGATTTCTTAAAATAACTTGAAGTGATGTTGCATTTTGTTTTATTTGCCTACTCATGCACGTTTACGAATATCAAATTGTTAATAATCCACCACTATTACAGATTAATATTCGATCTAACACTGTTTGTGTTAAATTATATTGCTAACCATGTTGCTCTTTCAATTTCCCGCCATAACTTCATCCAATCAGTCCAATCGAAATTACACAGATAACAAAGAGCAACCCACACATATTTTATCTGTGGAGCAACCTATTTATGCCACCCACAGATATGGATTAGAGTAGATACAGCAAGTTGATCGTCAAAGCGTGCCATTCCGATATGTCCAAATGGACATACATGGTCGAGTGATGTTCATGTAATCCGATTACAACAATCGGTTACGATGATTTTACGAGGACAGTAGTACGAACACGGTAGAAAGAAGAAATTATTTACGGATTGAGAATTGTAATTAACAGCACAAGTAACATATAATTAATTAGAATAAAGTAGCAGTAGAAGAAGTGTAAAGTAGCATTGTTTTTAATACATATCCTGCGATGTACTCTTAACAGTTAAAACCATGGTCCCTGTATGTGGTGCACTCATACCGATCCCAAGGAACCGTACTTACTCATAACAATAAGACACACACTGATGCATGACCATGAAGCTATAGATAAAAATGGAGGCCACACTCCGAATACCTACTTGAAGCACAACCTATGTATCACTATCTCGCTCTCTGTGGGCAGACTCTCTCTTTCTAAGTAAACAAAAAATATAAATTTGCTCAAAGTCAATGAAACTCAATGTAAAATCTTTATGTCTTGACATAGGTATCATTAAATGATAAGTGTAAATACTGGTAAAACGTTTTAGGAAGAAATTACTGTGAAAATTGTGAAAAATGTTTACAATGATCCAATGTCGGAAATCACGAAATAAAAACTTACGCGTGGAATCTTAAGTCACTTCCGGGACACCACGTACTACCGCAACCACGCACTACAAAATTTTGCACCATTTCTTGTGAATTATGTCCTGTAAAAAATCTTAAACGAAATTAACTGCATAATAAACAAAATAGTAAACAACCGCCATGATGGGCCGGATTGGGCCGATGTTGCCACATGGTACCGATTACCCAGGAATTGGGATTGTAATTCCCTGATTCGCCAACACATAAGCCTAAACGGCCGACAATTTTGTGATTTTTAATTCAAATAGGTAATCGTAGTTCAAATATTTAATTATTTATTTGTTTAACTTCTGATTTGGTTAGTGAATTGGCTATTTCGAAGAATTTACTGGGAGATTTAAATAAGGAGATAGCAATACTACAGTCCACACTAAAAAGAGAGGTCGGCCCACAGAGAGCGAGATAGAGATAAGTAGGTATTTGACTCAAGTTTTTGTTCCAAGTCTGGCCTCCATTTTTATCTTTAGCTTCATGTGCATGACGTATTCATGCACTTGACTTTATGTCTTGAAACGCTGGTAGGGTAAAAAAAATAACGAGATTTGACGATTTGTAAGAATTAATTTATTTTAAAAAGGTAAATAAAGATGTTTTTGGTTTTGTATTTAACAAATTATCAGTTTTATCGGAATTAATTAATTTTCGAATCGAGTCACACGATATCATTCGATGACTTTGCAAATGCAGTACGATGATACGATTACTTTTACGTTGCGGCAATCACTAAAATTCGCTAAAATGACACTAATGACGTTTAAAAAGTGGCACGCTCGGCTTCATACAATTTTTGACACATGCTGCATCTATCCATATCTGTGATGCCACCAAATCCGCAAGAGGGAAGGGAGCCACCTCCAAACAAATAAATCTGTCAACTTTAAAGTTTGACGATTTTTTTTTAATTAATAAAATCGATTAGGAGCTGAGTGATATCTCGCTTAATCACATCTTCACATTAATTCAATCAATAGAATACACAAATATCTTAATTCCTGCCTGGATATTTTCCATGAAAATTAATTATTTTTTGTAACTTTGTCCAAAGATATTTATAAAAAACTAACTTAACTTAAAATTTATTTTAATTTTTTTTAAATTGGTTTCAATAGCAAGGCAAGGTATGCAAGGATGGACAGCTTCATGCAGCCAAATATTTATATGATTACCTATCTTCTAACAGCACTACTCTAACCAGACAGAGTTAAGTACAGTGGAAAGCATAGAGCAAAGTAATGTGGAAAGTATTAGCTATAACGACGATAACTGAAATAATTGATTGTTCAATTATTTATTCGTAGTATCACATCCCTACTTGCCATGGGCCGTGTCGATGACACTTTCATGTCTGTCTGTCTGTCACTCGTTTTCGAACAAGAGAGAAGCCGGTACCCCCGTGCTTCTCCTTGTTAAATTTTTGAAAAAGTATATTTTAGAGAATCTACCGTACTAACAATCAATAATTACAATTTAAGTCAAATAAAATATTTGGACTAGTTTACACTTCTTCAAACGCCGCTTCGAAGAACCTGCCCACCACGTGTACTTACATCGTGTTTTCTGTGAATCTACTATTTCATTTGTACCAAAGAGAAGTATCATATTCCACGTGTGCCACTTATCAAGATGTCGGTGAAAGCGGAAGGGGACCTCCGTGACGGACTGTCAGCTGCCGAGATATTTGCTAACAGTGAAGGACTGACATACAATGACTTTCTACTGCTACCTGGATACATCGACTTCACCGCCGAGGAGGTGGACCTAACCTCGCCTCTCACTAAGAAAATTAACCTGAAAGCTCCTTTGGTGTCGACGCCCATGGACACGGTCACCGAAGCTGACATGGCGATCGCCATGGCTCTCTGCGGCGGCATCGGCATCATACACCACAACTGCACCGCTGAATACCAAGCCAACGAAGTTCACAAAGTGAAGAAATACAAACACGGCTTCATCAGAGACCCCATCTGCATGGGCCCCAACAACACAGTGGCTGATGTGATTGAATCCAAGAAAAAGAATGGATTTACAGGTTATCCTATCACAGAGAACGGAAAATTGGGTGGGCGCCTCATAGGCATAGTCACCTCAAGAGATATAGATTTCAGGGAGGGAGATCCACATCTCAGCCTGAAGGAAGTGATGACGCCCATTGATGAAATGATCACTGCTCAATCCGGTGTAACTCTTCAAGATGCCAATTATATTTTAGAGAAAAGCAAGAAAGGTAAGCTCCCCATTATTAATGGAGCTGGTGAACTTGTCGCGCTCATAGCCAGAACCGATTTGAAGAAAGCCAGAAGCTACCCAAATGCTTCAAAGGACTCCAACAAACAACTGCTAGTGGGTGCTGCCATCGGCACCCGGGATGCCGACCGTGAACGTCTCAAGCTCCTTGTCAGTAATGGTGTGGATGTGATAGTTCTGGACTCTTCCCAAGGAAATTCCATATATCAGATAGAAATGATCAAATTCATTAAATCCACTTACCCAGACATACAAGTGATAGGAGGAAATGTTGTGACCAGAATGCAAGCCAAGAATCTGATTGACGCAGGAGTGGATGCGCTGAGAGTCGGTATGGGTAGTGGCTCCATCTGTATAACCCAGGAGGTGATGGCATGTGGCTGCCCACAAGCCACAGCTGTGTATCAAGTTTCCTCATATGCTCGCCAGTTCAACGTCCCCGTGATAGCTGATGGAGGCATTCAATCCGTTGGCCACATAGTGAAGTCCCTTGCTCTAGGAGCCTCCACAGTAATGATGGGATCCCTTCTGGCAGGAACCTCAGAGGCCCCAGGAGAATATTTCTTCTCTGATGGTGTGAGACTTAAGAAATACAGAGGCATGGGAAGCTTGGAGGCCATGGAAAACAAAGAGGGTAAAGGAGCAGCCATGAGCCGTTACTTCCACAAGGAAACTGATAAACACAGAGTAGCCCAAGGAGTGAGTGGCAGTATTGTTGACAAAGGATCGGTGCTACGGTTCCTCCCATACCTGCAAGCAGGTTTGCAACACAGCTGCCAAGACATTGGAGCCAAGTCTGTGGCCACAATACGTGAAATGAGCTATTCTGGAGATCTAAGATTCATGAAGCGAACATACTCTGCCCAACTGGAAGGAAATGTTCATGGATTGTTTTCTTATGAGAAAAGATTATTTTAGATAAATCAAACACTAAAACGTGATAATGAGTACTTTCAAAAGTGAAAATTCATTGTATATGTGATGAAAGTATCCATTTATTTTTCAATGGAAATGTTATTTTGTATTTGTATATTAAGAGTAATTGTTGCTTTAAGATTTAAGATGAAATTTATCCACTGGAGCATTTACTCCTCTCATGTTGTCACTTATTTTATTCTTTGGCATTTATTTATAATCTTTGTGACAAAGGACCAGAGATATCTATTCTTTATTAAAGTGTGTACTATAACTATTTTTTATTGAATTAAACAGCAACCCAACTAGGCCTAAGATGCGCGCCGTGATAACTTTTATCGACGTCAAAATGTATGGGCAAAATCGATAAAATGGCGTGATAACCGCTTATCGCGGCACGCATCTTAGTAGGCCTACTGATCCCAAAACCTTTTCAAAAACGATTTGTGCTTACAAAAGTGAACATGGCACAAGTTTTTATATTTATAATTTCTAAATATGAATAAGTATTTATATTTTATACCACAGCAGTACTTATACATAAATAACATTCAAAAGCTTATCAAATACCTACTTATTTATCACAACTATTGAAACTACTTTGTTTCATTGTTTTGACCTTCTGAATTGATTAGCATAACCTGCTAAGCAAAAAGTGTATTTTTTGTATTAGCTAATGAAACGCAAGTGTGGTTGTTCTCTTTTAAATAAAAATAGTCTTGTTTCCATGTAAACCCTAAGAGGTCAAATGTTTAACAGGATTTTGATGTCTTATTCTCAATCTTGTTACTGTTGTGAGGTTTCTGTACAGCATTATCATCATACATAACTGCACCACTATACAAGGCTGTTTTGTCAGCTATAACATGAGGCATACAAACTTATTCGTATAATCTATCAATTAAAATTTAAGAGTTAAAATAGCTGTAAGTAATATTTATTCACATTCGTGACTTAAGTAAATGCGGCCGTACGCTAGTTCTTATAAAAAGGAGGAATTAGGTAATAGTGAAATAAAAAAATATTATTCTAATAATCACATTTTAATGGAATTATAAATGCATAAGCTGCACAGGCATGATTATTTTCATTTGACAATAAATATTGTTTAAAAGTGCTAAATAATTTAAATAATAATAAAAATTAAAAGTGCTTCAATGCCCTGGACTGGTGCGTCCAAAATGTTACACTTAACATTTTAAAACTGCATCCTAGCTAACTTCACCTATCATAATTGCACATTTCCTCGGAACTATGTCGAATGTTAATACTCCTTTGGTTCTTACACTCCATGTTTAATGAAGATATATAAAATTATAATAAACTAAACCATATAAGAGAGCTTACCAACTTCATCAAACTGAATATGTCCCATTTTCTCTATAGCAATAATGAACTTCAAGCTCTGAAAAATATTGTAAGCTACGTGCCATACAAAAACAGATACGCATTCTGCTATAGATACTTGGCCATTAAAGTACAGACGCTAAAATAATACTATGTATTGGTCTATCATATTCAGTTTGATATAAAAACTTTCCAAAACGCTACGATTCGATCTTGCAAACTTTTATCAAGACAACCTAGCTATACTCCATTCATACCGCTAACCCTGATAATGAACAGCATATCGAAGCAGGGTTTGACCTGCTCACTTCACTATCGTCTCTAAACTGAATCTCGTTTTAGATATCATTCGACCGATAACGAATACAAAAATATAATGAAACGGTCCAAATATTAAAATGAGTAAACTGAGCAGGTCACGGTTTCCGATAAGATTCCTATCCTACAAGTTTCTCGCACAACCGGTGTCATTGTGTCAGTTCCATTACAAACCAAACGCACCAGTCGGAATGCACGTAGTCAAGCGACCAAAGCGTATAAATCTTACTGAGATTACACCTTAGATGTACCTAATACAGCACGTTTGAACGTGTGAAAATTAACTACTAACGTTAGAAAAGATTACGGAGATCTTAGTCGATATGCTGCGTATCGGAATGTGATCGTCTCGAATGCTCGATCATCGGCTACAAGTTTATTATTATTAGCTAAAGTCGGCTTGGTGTTATGCAAGTTACTAACTTCCCAAAAGTAATCAATAGTCCAAATTCGATCCTATAGATGTAGGTAATCATTTTCAAATCTGTGTCAATCTGATTAAAAATGTCGTCCAAAATGACGTATAAATTGGCGCCAAAAGAATGACAGTAGTCGAGAGATGGTCAAACCTTCATGCACGCTCGTAGTGTTTCAAACGGTCAATAGTGTTGTGTACGCTTGCATAACCCCGTCCGCACGCTCAAACGCGCCGTGTGCTGCCTACTGCGCGTCGCCCTCGGCGTCGTCCTCGTGGCGCGCGAACTCGGGCCCGTGCGTGACGTCATCCTCGAACACGATCTCCTCTGGGTCGGGCGCGCGCGGCAGGAACTCCTCGCCCGGGCAGATCTTCTTGAACACCTGCTCCGCCTGCGTGGAAATTGATGGGTTAGACAAAATTAAAAATACAATGTTGTGGATAAACTGTCTGGTAATATGGTCGGCCGTTTGGTGTAGTGGTTCAGAACGGACTACTATGCCGAGAGGTCCCGGGCTCGATTCCCGGCCGGGCAGAAATTGAAATGATGAATTTTAATTTCTGTGACGGGTCTGGGTGTGACTATGTATAATATTTATGTATTTAAAAAAAAAAGTATACAAGTAGTATATCCGTTAAGCTAGCACCCATAACACAAGCATTAAGTTGCTTACTTTGGGGCTAGCTGGCGCTGTGTGAAATTGTCCAAAGATTATTTATTTATTTATTTATTTATTTTAGATTATTTATATGGATCGGATAAATAGATGGGCTGTCATAGTTGTATTGCTGCGTTTACACTGCGCGGAAATTAGCCAAGTCAAGTCAAAAAACAGTGGAGTGGGGATGAAAAATGAATGAATTTCATCCCCACTCCTCTGTTTTTTTGACTTGACTCGGCTAATTTCCGCATAGTGTAAATCCGCCATATGGATATACCCACTTGTGACGTCTCTTGTAGATTTCACAAGTCTACAACATTACGGTGTCCCCATTGCAGAGAAGAGAGTGATACAAACAGAATACATTAATGTACAGTTATTATGTAAACAGACGCAAGTAGTAGTAGTACGAGAAACAAATATTTAAGTTTCAAAAATAGGCTGTCACTAAAGCTCTTAGTTGTAATAAAATCTCACAGAGATAAGATATACAAGCTAAGTCATTAAACTACCTTACAGTAAGGGTGACAAATATCTTGTTCGTGATAAGATAATATCAGCAAACTGCACATTTGAACAATACAAACAAAATGATTCAGACTGTTTATGTACTTTTAACTTTATTTCGTAAAGGTGTAAAGTAGAAAACATGGGAAGAATCCATTCCTTCGCTATTAATTTGTTTTTTATTGCATTTAGACTGCAACACTGAGTTACAATCAGAATGCAAAGGTTACCTGCTGAATCCAGCTTTGTGGCATACTCACGAGTAGTGAAGAATTGAGGACCTTTCTCTAGCTAAAATTTGAGTAATTTCTATACTACCTAAATCTCAAGCCGTTAATAGTTTTGTTTACATATTTACATACATCGTCAACCAACTAGTAAAACGTTAGAGTAGGTATTTCAATTACATAAAAAATCATAGGTTAGTTACATAGATAAGAAGACGATGAAATGTCTAACCCGCGAGTTCAAGTTATAACATCACAATCACTTAACGATTGTTGTGATGTAACTAACAAATTAAAATGTTATATTAACTGTTTGTTATCGTAGAACATCACGTGGCCTACCATGTTATTTGGAAATTGTTAGCTAACATTCGCATGTCGTTGTGAAATAATAGACAGACGCTGATAAGGGTAACTAACTATTAAACATGGAAAAATTGGTCATTGCAAATTAATTGGACGATGTGTAAAAACACAATTAATAATAATAGGCCTTCCATAAAACGATGCCCGTTTATCTGCTGTTCCCAAGTTTCTTAATTTTATTATGATAGCGATAAGCATTTTTAGATGGCTGGGTCTCTTTCACGGGTAGAATAAGGTGATATTGTCCGAAAACGAACGTTACTTTGTATTTAAAGGAACAAGGCACAGTCAGTAAATTATTTAAATGACAAGAGACCGTGAACTTTACCTGCCTAGCTCGCACTTATTACGTAAGATACGTTTTAATATAATAATAAAGCTTTTTTATTTATCCATATTTCAAGTTATTATACATAAGATATGATTTTTTTTTTTACAATTCCAAGTTATTTATACGGATCCCTTTTGGGTAAAAGCCTCCTCCATCTTTTGCCATTTTTCTCTATCCTGCGCGACTTTCATCCAGTTGGTGCCGGCAATTTCGACGATGTCATCTGACCATCGTTTTCGTGGTCTACCTGTTTTTGTTTTACCAGCTGGTCCCAGCCATTTTGTTGTTTCTTGTGTCCACCCTCTTTCACTGTATCTGGAAATATGTCCAGCCCACGTTTTAATATAAGTAGTATTTATTGCTCTTCGCCTCTTCTCAGCATTAGCTATATGTTGTCCCGAAATGGTGGTAGGGCAAGCTAATAGGGACGTGTATAAGCGCCCTGGAAAGGGCCTAAGTACAGAATAAAATAATGTAACTTAACTAACGTCTCTGTACCGACACGGCACAATTCCTGCAGCAAAACGACTCGGCCCGGCCGCTGTAGTGACACGGTGGTATAATGCTTCAATCACACCAACGCGTGCAGATCGCGCCATCAAAGGCCAATGACAGGTAGCGCGAACTGTCATGGGTCGCGCGACCTGTCATTGGCCTATGATCTCGCCAGCCATGGCGATCTGCACGCGTTGGTGTGGTTGAAGCTTGCGGTGTTCGCCACCGGCCCGGCCTTGTAGTAACACGGCGACTCGGCCCGGCCCCTGTAGTAACACGGCGACTCGGCCCGGCCCCTGTAGTAACACGGCGACTCGGCCCGGCCCCTGTAGTAACACGGCGACTCGGCCCGGCCCCTGTAGTAACACGGCGACTCGGCCCGGCCCCTGTGACACGGTGCAATAAGTCACAGTACCTGCTCCACGGCGCGGTCGAAGTCGAGCCCCACGTCGGGTCCGGCGCACACGTGCACCTCGGGCGCCGCGCTCGCCACCGGCACGCTCGTGTCCTTCACGTTAGTACAGCGAGTATACACAGCGGTTACTCGGCACAGTAGCTGCAGCAACAAGGCATAGTTACTATACCAACACGGCAAAGTTACTGCAG